AAGATCTGGATGACAAGGCACGTTCAACCATTCTTTTGTGCCTGTCTAAAGAGGTTCTACGTGAGGTGTTAAGTGAGACGACTGCGTCAGATTTATGGTCCAAGCTGGATACGCTTTACATGGCCAAAACTCTGGCGAACACGCTACGCCTGAAGGAGCGTCTGTACACAATCCGTATGACGGAAGGTACTTCTATTAAATCTCACTTGGATGAATTCAATTCTATTTTATTGGACTTGGAAAATATTGATGTTATAATTGAAGATGAGGATCGCGCTGTTTTATTGCTTGTCTCTCTCCCTAGATCATACACGCATTTCAAAGAAATTATGTTGTATGGTAATAGTAGTGATACCCTTACTTTTGACAATGTTAAGTCAAACTTATTGTCCAAAGAAAAGTTTGACTTTGAAATTAAGTCTGAGGACAAAGGTGAAGGCTTGACCGTAAGGGGTCGTTCACTTGAATCAGGGAGTAGCAATAAAAATTCCAGATCCAAGTCCAAAGGACATAAGTCCAACAAATCCTGTAAGTACTGCAAGAAGCATGGTCATGATGTGACTGAATGCTTCAAGTTGAAAAACAAGCAAGAGAGAGAAAAGAGGTCCGCTGAAGCTAGTGTTGTTGAAAGTGATTCAGATGGTGATGTGTTGTTATCTGTTAGCTCCGGTGAGAAACGGAGTGAAACTGAGTGGATTTTGGACTCTGGTTGTACATTCCACATGTGTCCCCACAAAGATTGGTTCATTTCTCTGGAACCGGTTGATGGTGGAGTTGTCTTGCTGGGTAATGATACCCAATGCAAGGTTAGTGGAATTGGAAGTGTTCAGATTAAAACTCATGATAACGTTATCAGGACTCTTACCAATGTTCGGTATATTCCTGATTTGAAACGCAATCTGATATCCTTGGGTACCTTGGAAAGTCTGGGGTGCAAGTATATAGCTGAAGGTGGAGTTTTGAAGGTCATAAAAGGCTCTGTTGTTCTCATGAAAGCTTCTCGTTCTGGAAGCGTGTACGTCTTGCATGGCAGTAATGTGACGGGTTCAGTAGCGGTATCCTCATCGATGTCTTATGCGGATCTCACTCAATTATGGCATATGCGTCTGGGGCATATGAGTGAGAAAGGCATGCATCTCCTGAGCAAGAAAGGTCTCCTTGGTGATTCAGGTGCGGGTAAATTACAATTTTGTGAGCATTGTGTTTTTGGGAAACAAAAGAGGGTTAGTTTCTCTACTGCTACACACCGTACCAAAGATGTATTGGAATATATACATTCCGATTTGTGGGGACCGACTAAATTCCAGTCTATGGGAGGCTGTAGATACGTTATGTCTATTATTGATGACTTTTCTCGTAAAGTCTGGGTCTATTTCCTGAAACATAAAAATCAGGCATTTTCTATTTTCAAGAAGTGGAAAATACTTGTTGAGACTCAGACAGGTAAAAAAGTCAAGAAGCTCAGGACAGACAATGGCTTGGAGTTCTGTGAGTCAGATTTCAATGACTTTTGTGCGGCAAATGGAATCGCTAGGCACAAGACCTTGCCTGGTAAACCCCAGCAGAATGGTGTTGCCGAACGTTTGAACAGGACTCTATTGGAAAGAGCTCGGTGTATGCTCTCTAATGCTAGGTTATGGAAACGGCGTGATTTTTGGGCCGAGGCCGTTTCTACTGCTTGCTATTTGGTAAACAGATCTCCACATTCATCCCTTGATTTCAAAATTCCAGAGGAAGTTTGGTCAGGTAATCCTGTTGACTACTCTATCTTAAGAGTTTTTGGATGTCCTGCTTATGCTCATTCCAGTACGGGTAAATTAAACCCGAGAGCTGTCAAATGCATTTTCCTTGGTTATGCTTCTGAGTCAAAAGGGTATCGTCTATGGTCTCCTGATTCTCGGAAAATCATTCTGAGTCGAGATATCACTTTTGATGAAAATGCACTACTTTCTTCTGAAAAAGTTCCCAGTACAAGTGAGACGCAGAGTACTGGTGAGAAGGTGGAGTTTGAGTTCAGGCCTATTGACAGTATTACTACCATTGATGGTAATACTAAAGATGATGCATCTACTAGCGTTGCACCTCTCGTCGAGCCACACCGAGAGTATTCCATTGCTATGGATCGACCTAGGAGGACAATCAAGAAACCTGCTAGGTATGCTAGTGATGATGAAAGCAACATGGTTGCTTATGCTCTTTCAGTCGCATAGGAGGTTGATGGTGATCTATCCTGCTATTCTGAAGCTCTTCCTATTGCTAAGTTCAAGCAGCGCTTGAGTTTAATCGACTGTTCTCGTTATAAATTTTATAACAAATTTGATCCAAGGTGGAGATTGTTAGAATATGGTTAAAATTATGTGGCTCAAATTATGCATGAAGACTTTGTTTTTCTCCACGTTGCATGGCTTCTTGCACATTCACCGCAACTGCCGCATCACTCCCATCTTCATGTGTCATTTCTTACATTTCATGCACTTTTCTCTCCTTTCGATTAGTATAAATAGCTTCTTTACCTTTGTAATTAATGCATCTCAATTCAACATCAATTATTGAATTCATTCTTATCCTTTTTCCTTTCTTTCACGTAGAGTATATATATATATATATATTTTTTCTTTTGTAACTCTCTTATGAGAGTTTAATATTTATATATATTTTATATTTTCCAATACATCAATTCCTAATTTTGTCATTCTATATTTTCCCTATTATTTAACTTCTATAATTCTCAATTTTCGATTCGTTCGCTTCCGCATTATTCCGCTATATTCCTAACACTATCCCTATCCATGTTTGGGATTAGATTATTCCCTAAGCCACACCTCCTCACCTTGGCAATCGTTATGCCTTGGACCCGTGTCCAGCATACTTGCTGGACACGGGTAACAGTGCCGTTAGGCACTGTTATCTCTTTTTTTTTTTTTTTTTTTTTTTTTTTTTTTTTTTTTTTAATTTCAGACCACTTTGTTATAAAAGTATATGTTCATAATTTTATTACTATATGTTAATAACTATACATTCATAACTCCATAACTGTACGTTCATAACTCTATAATTGTACATTCATAACTCTATAACTGTACATTCATAACGTCATAACTGTACATTCATAACTTCATAATTGTACATTCATAATTTTCGAAGCTCTATGTTCACAATTTTAGAGCTCTATGTTCATAATTTTATCACTATATGTTCATAATTGTAAGTTCATAATGTTAGAGCTCTTTGTTCATAATTCGATCAATAACTGTACATTCATAATTCCATAACTGTAGATTCATAATCTCATAACTGTAGATTCATAACTCCATAACTGTAGATTCATAACTCTATAACTGTAGATTCATAATCTTCGAAGCTCTATATTCACAATTTTAAAGCTTCATGGTCATAATTTTATCACTATATATATTCATAATTGTAAGTTCATAATGTTAGAGCTCTGTGTTCATAATTTCATAATTGCATAACTGTACATTCATAACGGCATAACTGTACATTCATAATCCAAAAAAAAAAATAACGCCGTTAACGGCAAAACGCGCGCGATTTTTTTTTTTTTAAAACTAAATGACGCGTTTTTTTTGAAAAACGATGTCGTTTTGGACCTGTGTCCACAAATCATTGTGGACACGGGTCCGGGGCATAATTTGCCTCACCTTGGATGGTTCTAAATTATTCTTTGAATTACTGTCTTTTCAAATCTGAAAACACAAACAACTTCCCTAATTCTACTGTTGTAAGTATGCATATTATATTATAATATGGCCCAAACAGATCAAGGAATCTACACCAGCTAGCTGCTACAGTACCCTCTTTTGAAGTGGTTCTTGAAATACATGCCCATTGCCCAATAATTACAATTATAACTTGCCTTTCAAGATAATATTTTCTCAGCTCCAATCATCTTTGCCCACATGTAAAGGTAAAATTCCTTCGTCCCTAAAACCCTTATATCCTAATTTAAGGAATAAATTATAATAATTTAAAAACTCATTAATTGAAAAAACATAACAAATTATGACATAAATCAGGATTTAAAATGACATTTAGATTATATGTTTACAATTAAAATATTACAGTTAACATATTATGTGTCAGTAAATGCAGCCACATAATAAGTTATCGACAAGGGCATAATATATTGTTTTAACATGTTAGGTGCTTGTAAACACATAACATATTAACTACAAATACATAATTTTTTTTATTAAGATTCACAATGCATTGTGGACCCTATCACTCTAATCCATGGTATAATAAGTGAAGGACTCATACTTGGTACCCACAAAAGCCCATCATATTAAGTGTAACTTTTAAACTGGGACGGTCACTACTGAAAATTATTGAATTTCCGACCACCTGAAAGTGATCTTAAATCAAGTTGAAAGCAAAAAGTGGTCGGAAATAGCAACAAGGGTTTTTCCGGATCCAAAAGTGGTTGGAACAATGCTTTCTACTTGATTTAAGATCATTTTCAGGTGGTCAAAAATTTAAGAATTTTCAGTAGTGAGTAATTATTGAATTCTGTATTGTTTTTCACAATTTATAACACAGGAACTAGTTGAGCTGCCAATGCAGGCCATAAGAAGCTAAAACATTCAGCTCCAATCATCTTCCCAGACAACACGTACCCAGCATATATAAATCAAGAATTCCCACTTATCTCCAGAACCAAAAGCAGCAATAATGACACCAAATTCAATCAAAGAAGCAATGCAACTCTTTCTGCAGATTCTGCACCCTGCGCCTATCATTAAGAATTGCTGTATACAAAGGGGAGTTCTACTAATCATTATATTCCGAAGATGGAATCCTTTCTCCTCACACGTCCCTACTAAAACCAACAATCTGCTCCCCAAAGATTCTTAAAGATTGCAACTTTAATGTTGATATGATATAGCATTACCCAGAAAAAGAAAAGAAACAAGGAATAATATAATGGCATACGTGAGAGCTATAAGATTCAAACATCATATCAAATCAAGCTGTTTTAATTTCATGGGAGCATATATCATTAAACACCTCAAATGATTCTCTGAAATTGTAAACAAGTGTTTGATGTTACACAAAAATATGTCTACATGCATTGTAAGTAACCATTCTAGTGGAGAATCCTATTAATGTGGATTCCCCAAAAAGAAAGAAAGAAAAAAAAAAAAAAATCCGTACAAGGAAAGAATTGGCTTTGCATCAGTAAAATCCACGAAAATGATTTTTTTTTTAATTTTTTTTTGGTTGGGGGGTAAAAAGAAGTTGAAGAATAAACCTAATAATTAAATCAGGATCAGAGCTTTTCTTTCCCAAAGCTTTCTCCTTTCCAAAAACCCATTGCCCCAAAAGATTGGAAAAGCATTAGAAATGGCTGGAAAGCAAGAAAGAAACCCCCCCTTCCATTGATGAAAGTTGCAGAACAAGAAAACCCATGTTTTCTTTCTTTCTTTCTTTCTTTCAAGATTCCCATATTTACCTAGACCGGAGCAAGTAGATGCTGAATTCTTGACCCGGGCCTTCATCCGGGTTGATCAAATGAAACGACTCCGAATCCGCGCCGCCGATTATGCACTCGTAATTGGCGCGCATGTACATGAGCTCCTCCGGGTCGTCGCCGGCCCCGAACCCGGACGGAATCACGCCGGCCCCGAACCCGGACGGAATCACGCCGGCCCCGACTGATATCGACTGCATTGTCTTGAGCATGAGGCGGGTCTGCTGCGTGGGCTTTCTCCGAACGGCGAACCCGAGTTTGCGGCCGTTGCAGAACAGGGTCCAGAGCGGGATGGCGTGGAGCGGGCAGTGGCTGAGCTCCGATTCCGACGCGCCGTCGTCCTTGACCTCCAGCGCGATGCGGACCAGCCCGCCGCCCATTTCCTGCGTCAGCGTGGTGGCGGTGATGGAGAGCTCGAGGAGGAGGTAGGGCTTGGCGTTGAGGCGGTCGTGCTGGACGCAGAACCAGACGTGACCGCCGCGGCGGTGCCCGAAGATGGTCCCCACCACCATCGTCTTGGAAGAGCGCGGCTGCGCCGCCGAGTGGGAGCTCACGGAGGCGGCGGTGCACGTCGGGCTATCCGGGTCCGAGTACTCTTCCCCTACATTATTATTATTATTATTGCTCCCTCTCTCTCTCGCCTTCGGGTCGTCGAGATCATCCCGGAGAGAAGTGCTCAGCCGCTTCTTGGTGGCGGCGGCGGTGATCGGCAGCGAGTGGTTGGCGGTGGCGGGCGTGAAGCACGGCAGAAACAGGCGGCGGAGAGCGTTGATCTTGGCCATTGGAAATCTTGATCAAAAGTTGAAGAAATTAATGTGAGCTTAAAGAAAAAGGGAAGGACTTTAAAAGACGGAAAAAGATTGTAAAATTTCGAGGGGTAGGGGTAGGGGTGGGGGTTGGTGGGGGTGTGGGTTCTATCTATGTATGGAAAGGAGGGCTTAAAGGGTGTTTAGTGATAGTAATCACTATTGCATGTGCATTGCCTGAACTTATCTACTATAAAACTTATAAAGTATGATAATTAATTTTTCATATATATATATCAAAAGAAGTGGAAAAAACAGCTCATAGGTACCCTAATTTCACAAATTATAATGCACTTCCTAGTTAAATTAAACCTAAAATGTGATAATGTTATGTTGCACATTTCAATCAACAATGCACCAAATCCTACGAAACATTACTTTACTCTTTATCAGTTAAACATTCATTAACCATTCAGTTTTTCATTAATTAATTATTATTATAATATTATTTAAGATTAAACACTTTAATCCAAAATATTATAATCAGGAAACTTAACTAAATATATAGCATTCAATTATCACATAAAGAATCACTATTTAAGGAGCAAAAATAAATATGTCAAGGTTATAACAATATGATTATTTTTTTGAATAAGTCTTAAGTGAGACCGTCTCACCATAAGATATATAATTTTTTTGATTAAAATATAACATTTTTTATGAATACATTAAAAAGTAGTATTATATACCTAATTTTAGCTAAAAATATATTACACATCTTACATTAAACGATCTTACACAATACTTACTGATGGGGTACGAACCCAATGGGCCTGAGGCCCGAAGAGAAGAGAAGACGGAGAAGGAAGTAAAGGTTGGGCCTGAGGAAGGTAAGGCCCAACCATGAGTGTCTATGAACCAGCAGACATGAGTCCAAAAAATCAGGACGCGAGTGGGCGATCGGCGCGAGCATAGAGTCGGCGTGAGAAGGAGGTCGACTCGGCTAAGATAGCCGTTGGCATTTAAGAATGTCCTTTTAAAGCATAGTTAAACAGGCCGTTGGGAGGCTCGGTAACGGCAACCCAACGGCCCTTAAGAGTAAATGTGCTAGTTTATGGCTCTTTAAGTGCATTTGAATAGGCAAAGGGCAACCCATTATAAAAGGGGGGACCCATGACAATGTAGGTAGAGCTTTTTTCCTCGGGAGAACAGAAAATACAGAGAAATATCCAAAATAAGCCAGAATTGAGGAATTGTCCTTTAAATCGTTCTTACTTTGTTCGAAAGGTGAATCCACCAACCACGGTTGTGTTGGATTTCCCTGGACCCAAAAACTCTAAAACCAACACTTACTTTTTTTTTTTGTTTTTTTGTTCAAACTCTATGTTTGACATGACTCATATCCTCACCACAAACATAAAATAAGATTTCATTAAAAGGTACTAAAGTGGAGAAATTTGTTATGTGGTACAAAAACATATATATAGACAGATAAGTGTAAAATGACAGGACTTGAAGTATATATGTAGTCTAGCTTGCATGCAAAAAAGTTTATTATCCATTGTACTATTGAAGGTGCCCTGGCCTGGCCTCCACAGTGTAGGAGGGTGAGAGAGGGGACAAAGAGGTGAAGGGTTTTCAGTGATGAAAGAGACATGGATTTTGACCTTTGACCAAATAATGATTTCAGGAGTTGAGGACTGAAGAGGGAGGAGATTAAAGAGTAAAGAGGAGGGGTGGTGGGGGCTGGTCAAACCCAACTTCAAATTAAAAAAAAAAAGGGTCCAAAAGGGTATTTACAGTTGGATTCTGAATGTTTTGTACCCAACAGCGTTTCCCTTTTAAGGTAGATTCTGGGATAACAGTGTAAAATGTACCTTTGTTGAATGGGGCTATAAGTGGAGGAATCTTCCTTTAGCTCATGTTTGGTTTGCTGGGAAATGTTCTCAATTTGAAGAATACTGATTTTTCTTTTGTTTGATTCATGAAAAACATTTTCGATAATCTTCCTTGGTATTTTACTTTTCATGAAAAACAATAAGTAGGACAATTATGCTCTCACCAACCTTTTCTTAATTAGCATTAGTAATATTTTTGTTATTATTGTGTAGGGGTATAAATGTCTTTATACTCGTTATTCCTTACACTTCCCAATACAACCAAACAATAGAATTCATATTCCCAGTAATTTCTTTTCCACCAACCAAATAATGAAATACATTTTTCTGAAATTTAGTTTCCATAAAATTTCAATTCTATTTCCCTTCAAATATTTTCCAGCGAATTAAATTCGCTTAATCCTTTATTCCTTTATGTAAATTAAAGCACAGACTTTGGCAGACCCTCCATTTTTAATTTGTCAGCAATTGTTGCTCCCTCCCTTTCCCTCTAGGCTCCACCCATCTTGGGTCCTCACACTAGCTTAGCTTATTTGTGTTATACTATCAGGATTTATATATAGGCTTTGTTTGGCAAGCTTAGTTGAAAAGCTATAAGCTATGAGTTGAAAGTTGAAAAGTTATAAGCTCGGAGCTGAAAACTGAATAGCGGTTAATCTAGCTATTATGATTGAAAGTGTTTGGTAAAATTAGCTTTTTGATAAGCTGATAAATGTAAAAAGACATATTAAAAGGACATTTTCATAACATTTAAATTAGTTTGTTTACATATTAAAATTTAACATTTTGTGTTTAAAAAAATTAACATTTTGAAATAAAACTATTAGCATAATCATGATCTAGCATCTCATAATGAAGTAACAATATTGTTACAAATATAATAATAATAATAATAATAATAATATTTGCGGTGAAAGTTGTGGATAAAGGAGAAGAGAAAATAATTTTAATTGAGAATGATAAATTATGTTATTTCTTTAAAATAATAAGGATAAAGATGAAAAAAAATTAAGCTAGGAGCTTATTTTGAAACGCTACCTAAAGTAACGTTTCAAAATAAGTTCTTATTTTAAGCTAAGAGTTTATTTTGAGAACATTACCAAACAGAGCTTATAGCTTATTAGTAACTTAAAATAAGCTATAAGCTCTGCTATATTGTATGAATGTTGATAGTCTTTGGACAATAAGATAATTGTGGTTGATTGTAACTTCCACACCATTTCATTTATCCATCCAGGTATTCTAGTTGCACTAGTCCTTTTAATCTTTTATCCTATTGGGTATAGTTATGTACATATATACAATAAATATATTTATTTAGTTTCTAGAATTCCGATCATAAGATACTGTAAATACTACTTTAGATATAATAATGACCTGCTCATAAGATATTGTAAATAGTCGGAGTATATTAATATAGAGTAAATACTCAAAATGTCTCTCGACTATAGCTAAATTCACAAATTGGTCTTCGACTTTCAATTTCAACCAATTAAATCCTTAACTTTGTAATTTTAACACGATTTGATCCTCCGTCTATTTGATCGTTTGTTAACCGTGATCTCTGAGGATATATATGTAATTTCATGGTCCATCGTCGGTTTTTTAAGGTTCCGATTACATTTTCAGACCGCACTGTTACATTTGAATCCACTGCCGAAAACAATATGCCAAATCCTGTCAACTTTCTTCATCCTCCCTTTGGATTCAATGTAGTTAAGTTTGTACCAGATCGAAGAAGACAACGTGTTTTCGAACCACAATCTGCCAAGTCCACGTGCTTCGAAGAGAGTTGCAGGTTCTTCTTGAGATTGTCGATGACGGCGCGGCCACCGGCGTTGATGCAGAAGTGTTCGAAGGCTTGTTTGAAGTCTGGAAAGTAGGGTTTCCATTTGGGATTGAAGATTTTCCGACCGACGATGGACCATGAAATTACATATATATTCTTAAAGATCACGATCAACAAACGGTTAAATAGAAGGAGGACTAAATCGTGTTAAAATTGCAAAGTTAAAGACTTAATTGGTTAAAATTGAAAGTCAAGGATCAATTTGTGAATTTAGCTATAGTTGAGAGACCATTTTGGGTATTTATTCATTAATATAGGTAATAATTTTTGACACGTACTGATGCTATTCTAATTTTTACATATTTAGGGTACGTTTAGTAATTAAATTTTTTTTAAAATAAAAAGTAAAAACACATTTTTTTTAACATTGTTTTTCATTTTTCTGTTGGAAAACAAATATTCTAATTTTCCAACTTAATAATGGATTTTTTTAAAATACTTTTTTCTTGTTTTTCAAAATTTTTCAAATACAAAAATACACACAATTTCATATGAGTTATGACTACCATTTGTAAGTTTAAAATAAAATAGATTTTAAAGTTCAGAAATCAGAAGTCTAATAACTATTTTTGTATAAAAGTTTCATGGTCTATTTGACCATTTTTCCTTTATAATCGTCAAATAAAAATAAAAATTTAAAAACATGTAATAATAAAGATAATTTAATAAACGATCTTATTTTCTTGCTATTTTCATCAAATAAGTAAATTAAAATCTAAATAAAAATAAAAATATGTGAATTAAAATTCGACTATTTGAAAAAGCTGAATCAAATAAGAAAATTAAAATTTTTTAAAAAAACTATGTGAGTTAAAATCTTATGATTTGAAAAAGCTGATCGCCTTGATCCCATAAGCTATTTTTCAAACACTTAACCAGCCAAAAATTATGAAAAAATACTATTGTATTCTCATTTTTTACTCCCACACACAAAATCTTGTTGTAGACATTTGTATACATATTTTTTACTCCCACACAAAATCTTATTGTAGACATTTGTATTGGGACTCACATGAAAAAAAATAGTTTATTAGTGTCCGCCACATAAGATCCATACTAGCTGGGTTTAATTTGCGCCTAAAGAAGCTGAAAATTATAGCGATGAACATTAAATTCAAACATAATGAATATCAACATCACTAGGTGATGAGCAGCGAAAAGCTATATAAGCATTAAGAAAAACATTTCCATAAAAGAAAATCTAAAGAGAAACAATTCAAAGGGGTGGACCCCAACAGCAACAGAAATAGCATCATGGTATATCCTCATAGCATCATGGTATATCCTCCAATGCATTCTAATACTAAACCAAGATGTCTTGTTTTTTGTTGTTGTTCAAGTGAGAAAAATATAGAAATGGTTCGTCTCGAGCAGAACCTGAGATACTCATTGCACACCACTCCACCTCGCCCAGTCCACAAACTGCATCCCAGCATACACATTGTTGGCGAATCGCACCCCGACTGTGAACGCCATTGATACGGGC